GCAAGGTCACCCGCTCCAGGCTTTGGTTAAAATCCCAACCAAAACTCAAGCTTTGAAGACTCGATGGCAAGGTCACCCGCTCCAGGCTTTGGTTGAAATCCCGGCCGAAACTCAAGCTTTGAAGGCTCGATGGCAAGGTCACCCGCTCCAGGCTTTGGTTGAAATTCTCACCAAAACTCAAGCTTCGAAGACTCGGCGGCAATGTCACCCGCTCCAGGCTTTGGTTGAACTGATCGCCAAAACTCAACCTTTGGAGACTCGATGGCAAGGTCACCCGCTCCAGGCTTTGGTTGAATGCAAAGCCAAAACTCAAGCTTTGAAGACTCGATGGCAAGGTCACCCGCTCCAGGCGTTGCTTGAAATTCTCACCAAAACTCAAGCTTTGAAGACTCGATGGCAAGGTCACCCGCTCCAGGCTTTGGTTGAAATGAAAGCCAAAACTCAAGCTTTGAAGGCTCGATGGCAAGGTCACCCGCTCCAGGCTTTGGTTGAACTCCCAACCAAAACTCAAGCTTTGAAGACTCGATGGCAAGGTCACCCGCTCCAGGCTTTGGTTGAACCAATCGCCGAAACTCAAGCTTTGAAGGCTCGATGGCAAGGTCACCCGCTCCAGGCTTTGGTCGAATAGATCACCAAAACTCAAGCTTTGAAGACTCGATGGCAAGGTCACCCGCTCCAGGCTTTGGTTGAAATTCTGGCCAAAACTCAAGCTTTGAAGGCTCGATGGCAAGGTCACCCGCTCCAGGCTTTGATTGAAATCAAAGCCAAAATTCAAGCTTTGAAGACTCGATGGCAAGGTCACCCGCTCCAGGCTTTGGTTGAAATTCTGGCCAAAACTCAAGCTTTGAAGGCTCGATGGCAAGGTCACCCGCTCCAGGCTTTGGCCAAATGCACAGCCAAAACTCAAGCTTTGAAGACTCGATGGCAAGGTCACCCGCTCCAGGCTTTGGTTGAAATTCTGGCCAAAACTCAATCTTTGAAGACTTGATGGCAAGGTCACCCGCTCCAGGCTTTGGTCAAATGCAAAGCCAAAGCTCAAGCTTTGAAGACTCGATGGCAAGGTCACCCGCTCCAGGCTTTGGTTGAACTCCCAACCAAAACTCAAGCTTTGAAGACTCGATGGCAAGGTCACCCGCTCCAGGCTTTGTTTGAATGCACAGCCAAAACTCAATCTTTGAAGACTCGATGGCAAGGTCACCCGCTCCAGGCTTTGGTTGAAATTCTGGCCAAAACTCAAGCTTTGAAGACTCGATGGCAAGGTCACCCGCTCCAGGCTTTGGTTGAAACCATCCCCAAAACTCAATCTTGCAAGGCTACAGGGGAGATAATGCCAAGACGATCCACGTATTACTCCGTCAAGTTGCGTAACACCTTCCAGTGCAAACTCTCTTTCATCAGTTGGGATTCCACAGACATAACACCATGCAGTGTACACATTTGTTGGTATGTAAGTGCAGGACAGCATTGCCGATTTTCCAACAATCCCTTGCTCTCCCAAGGTTTCCTCGAGCGCCAGCTTTCGATTAACGTGGTGCACGGCGAGCTTTGCGCCTGGCTTGCATGGAAGCTTCTCTGACAGCAACCTGCGCAGGTCATATCCAAGCATAGAGCGAGGGACGCCTAGTGTCACTCCTTCTCCAGTCAAGCAGAGCACCTGAAGATGAACCTCATCAGTTTCATCTGCTGCACCTTTGTCAGTAGAAGATGGATCCACATAGCCATGTTGTGCACCGGACATCGTCAGAAGTTACACACTGACCATGGCACTGGGCCAAAAAAAACTCATAAATATATAAATACCAACATGTATTTCCAAGTGCCGCGAATTACTAATCATATTCCAATGCCAGTATTCAGGGCTGCTGCAATCTACCTTGCTTATGGCAAATTGCCCACAAATGAGGGAGAGTTGCCATGATTCCATGGGGGATGTCTCCAAATCAGGCAATTCTGATCACATTTGAGGACAACGTTTGGGTATCTTCCATCTTAAGACAAACCCATGTCCATTTTTAAATAATTCATTGCTTCAATCCATATTTATCGTGGTTAGCGCCCCAGATTGACTGGTTAAACACGGTCAAAATATGTCCCATGCTGTCACTAGTAAAGCTTAGCAAGAGCCGAGTAGCAAAAGAATGAAAAAGTGATGACGCTGCAGATGGATATGTACGTATATATAATATATTAACCAGTATATGTACTAGTATGTATACGCCCAAACCCCCCTCTTTCGCCCACACACAACATTTTAGGGATTCAAAGGGCATTGATTCAAGGGAATCTTAAAAATGTTTGCGAAGAATTTCTAGGGAATCATTAAATCCCCACCCCCGATAAACTTTATATTCAAAGGAATCTTCAATATGTTTCAACAGAGTTTCTAGGGAATTGTCCAATCCACACCCCAGTTAAACTTTATATTCAGGGGATTTTAGGGTTTTAGGGTTGATGATGTTGATGATGCTGATGATGTTGATGATGTTGTGATGCTGATGATGTTGTTGTTGATGACGATGATGATCATGATGTAACATTCAACGCACAGGTAGCTAAGCTGTGCGTTGCAAGATGAAAGCCATGATCCTGGACATGTGCATTTTGTCCCACAAAACAGTGTTGGTTGATGTTCGGACACGTGGTGGACGTCGGCGCGGGCAAGAGAGGGGGTTTTCCCGTATGTATACTATGTATCTATATCAATATCATACCCAACCTGGCATACCTGGCATACCAGGCATAATCGTTTACAAATGATTTCAGCACATTGATCAACGCAATTTTGCACACTTATCCTGCAGGTTTTGGTCATCGTCTCCATGATTGAAGGTTCTTTGGCCATCTATTTAGGTTCTATTCCGACTTATTCCAGTCTCTTCCAGCTTTTTGTTGCTTCAAGGCCCATGTTCTTACTGGTGCTTAGCAGGGAATGGATGGGACTGGGGGAATGGAATGATTATTGATAGTTATCGTGGATCGTTCCCTCATTCCCTACTAAGCACCAGTAAGTGTTTGTTGGATTGAAATCCCGCCATTTGGTACCCTTCCATCCACTGACCATGGCAGTTTTTGATGGCCCTCTATGACATTCCCTGCCTCAGCCATCGCTCCCAAAGCCCTGGCAGTGCGAATGACCATTGAACCGGCAGAAGTGGGGATTTCAGCCACTAGTTTAAGCAGTGCGCAGTGCGGAACAATATGTGGTTTAATATAATTTAATTAATATGGTTAAATATGGATTAATTTGGTTTAATAGGGACAATCACGGATTATGAACGGGTCTAATGAGATATTAATGGGATATTAATGGGAATATAATCCCCACGACGGTAATTTGAACACTATATGGCAATTCAGCTACAAATTCTCCTGGCATGTAGTGTTCATATAGTTCTTAAGGAACACACATGGGGATACCCTTAATGGTAACTTGTTTGGAGACACCAAAATTTCTGACTCCTATTGGGGATTCACCATGGATCATTGTTGGTGCTATGGTCAGCTACAAGGTTTCCACCTCTTTACTTCCAGTTAGTATGCGGTTGCTATACATGTGTGTGATCAATTTGGCTTGGTTGAAATTGTCATTTTTGTTTGTGATTCAGCCGTTTCTGTGGTCAAACAGTATATATCATGACCCATGATTTGCATGCGTTTACTTCCAGGAAGCTGTCCGTTGACCTTTTCCACAATGGAGCCCAACCCTGATGTGAAGACTGTCGGCTACATAGTTCAAATCCGAAACATGTGAAAATGGGATACATTGGAAGATCCTCTCAGTGACAACAAAGGAATTGCTTCAAAGGAATTGCGTTCAGTCTATGCAACGGGTATGGGTCCTCATCCGTCCTTTTGCGGGCAGGAGAATCTTGACACTGATACGCAGTATTACGGAGTGAACCCTGCAAAATCCACAATACCCTCTGGTAAACATACAAAAAACTATCGAAAATCACCATTTTTTAATGAGAAAATCCACTATTTCAATGGCCATTTTCAATAGCTTTGTGTATGTTTCCCAGAGTGTAACAATACAGAAAACATCATGATCGAACTTATCAAGATGTTCAAACATCCGACAGTCCGTTGAAACTTTGGATGCTCGAAGTGAGTCATAAAACACCGACGACCTCTTATAAGAGGCCTATGGCATTGTGGAAAAATTGAGGACCAACCCTTGGATATCCGTTGGATTTGGGGGAATGCTACATTTTAATATTTGGGTTTGTCTGGAAATGTAGTTGGTAAAATGAGTTTCCCTGTTAAAGGGCCATTTATATAATATAATATATAAACATCATTTATGGGTACCATCCATATTCGGAGACACCCTTTTTGGGGCACCCTCCACGTTCAACGGAAGCCAGCAGCACATCTGCAACGGGAGGTCGAATCGCTTTTGCGTCGGGAGCCTCATGCAGATGATGCTTGTGTCCCCACGTTCATAGGTTCTGAAGCCATTGTATGCTTGCAATATCACAAGCATTTCCTGGTTCTATATATATATATATAATTATGTATATATATATATAGAGGTTTACTTCCTGGACTCAACTGAACAATACTTACAGCACAATAGAAACAGGGTTAATCAAAGCCCTGGTCATGTCATGTCATGTCTACTCCTTTGCTGGCATCTTGATGATCTGCATTCGTTCCAGTGATAGGCTTCTCTCTCAAACCCAACTCCCAATGTTTGCTGCTCAAGATCCAAAGTTGTGCCCGTGAGATACGCATCTTTGGCCCATTGACATGTGTATATAGACATATATATATATATATGAAACTGAATATATATATATATGAATATATGGTGTTCCTGGTAGATATTATATTAGCTTATATATACAATAATGTATAGTATGAATATGTATGTATATATATATATATATATACAATAAATATACATATATATATATAACATTTTTATGTATATACTGATATACTATATGGGGGGTTCCATACATGGGGATATCCCAGTAGCTGGATGGTTTATCATGGAACATCCCCAAAAAAACATGGATGATAAATGGTGTACCCCTTTTTTAGGAAACCTCCACATGGTAACTTGTTTGAAGACCCTCACCGATTTTGTTCACTTTCAGAAGTTTAGAATACCATCTGTAAATAATCCATTAAAACTCCCATTAAAATCCCATTAAAAATCCCATCAATATCCCATCATAATCCCATGATAATCCCATGACGGTCCCATTGTCCAATTTAATCCCCTTATTTTTGATACCAAGGCGCAGCAGCTCGCTGATCCGGCCCAGAACCAGGTCAGGGAAGCGGCCACGGAGCTCGTCTGCCACCTGGGCTTCGTCGGTCGAAAAAAATTGATATTTTACCCAGCAAAATATGGTTTTTACCAGGTTTCACCATGCAAAATATGGTTTTTACCAAGCAAAAGATTGGTTTTACCCAGCAAAAGATTGTTTTTTACAGCAAAATATGGATGTTAGACGGATTTTAGCCAGAAACATTTTTATTTTGACCAAAAATGAGTCTTTAACAAACTGAAATGATGATTTATATAATATAATTTCACATTTCGGTTCTTACATCTATCGAACCACCAGTGGTGCTATCGCCAACTTCACGAGAAGTACCCAGTGATGGTTAAAAACCAACAAGTTGGGTTGAAAATAATATATATATATGTATATATTTATATACACACACCGAATCCACTAAATCCATTCAAATCCCAGATTAGTGTTCCTCAAATATCGCAAGCTGCCTCCGTTGTTCCTGCTTATCATCCATCAATTTCTGCTTGCCGGACTTCCCAGCCACCAGCAGCAACCAGCTGCAGGATGCTCAGAATCCCCCATCGAATGGTCTAAAAGAGGTTCAAGGCCATTGGTGTGGATCAAACCCAAACGTGTGTTGTTGTTGTTGTTGCTGTTGTTGTTGCTGTTGCTGTTGCTGTTGCTGTTGCTGCTGCTGCTGCTGTTGTTGTTGTTGGTGGTGGTGGTGGTGGTGTTGGTGTTGTTGTTGTTGTTGCTGTTGCTGTTGCTGTTGCTGTTGCTGTTGTTGGTGGTGGTGGTGGTGGTGGTGGTGGTGGTGTTGGTGTTGGTGTTGTTGCTGGTTGTTGGTTGTTGGTTGTTGGTTCTTTCTTGTTGGTTGTTGGTCGTTTCTTGTTGGTTGTTGGTTGTTTCTTGTTGGTTGTTGGTTGTTGGTTGTTGTTGTGGTTGTGGTTGTGGCTGTGGTTGTGGTTGTGGTGGATGTTGTTGTTGTTGTCGTTGTCGTCGTCGTCGTCGTCGTTGTTGTTGTTGAAAACTATTAAAACCCATTGAAACAGATTGAACATCTAGCTGTTGTTGATTGAAGCCAAACCTGCTGAGTAAACCACCATTTAAAACCATTCGCACTAACCAATATTTCATCACATACCACCCTCTGGATTAAATGCTAGTTTAAACCATTTTTGCACATTTTTCAGCGATCCCCTTTTTATCCATAGGAGGCTCCCCGAAACCTCACACCCCCGCGCTGCCAGAGCCCCCCGCGCGCTGCCGTTGTTCCAGCTTGTCCAGCTGCTCTCGGCGCGCCTTTTTTTCGGTTGACCGTCGAAGTCTGACTTCTGGTTCAGTGCAAATCATGTGCCCCACTTGATATATCAGTCATGAATCTAAGGGATCCGACGATATCCGCAATTCTTGGGCAAACCACAAAAATATGGCACGGTTTAACCAACCCAGGAGGGTTTTGAACAACAAATGCGAACTGAACAATGTTTTTGACCCAATAATCGAAGAGAACAAGAATTTGAGGAAACTAAACAGATTCAACCAGGAAATTCACCTGGACAATTGTGCATGCAATTTACAAAAAGGGGGGTGACCAACAAGAATGGCTTCATGCACTCAGATTCACGCACTTAAATGCTGGATGCTTAAGCCACGAAGAGAGGTGATGTAACCAACAACTGTAGGTCCAAAACCAACAGCACGCAGATCAAGCCACGAAAACTGGAGATGTTCTCCACAAATCATCTGAATACATCGACCAGTGATGGTCTTGACAATTTTTGTTTGCTGGAAGTACCAATTTGTAGGTTCAATATCAGGATGTGGTCGATAAAAAATACAGGATGCAAGTATCAATACCCAAATCTGTTGTGACTTTTTTATTTGGTAACAGTCTCAGTACATGCTAGATCTGAGTATATATGTATATAATATAGTAACTGTATATGTATTCAAATGTATTCAATGTATTCATGGCCAACTTTCAGCCAGAAATGGTTGCAAGAGTCGCGCACAGAGTTGCCTCCACTGCCAGGGTAAGCCAATGAAACATCAAACTCTTGATGGTGCGCAATCACCCTATTTATTGCTTGCTATTATCTATGACATTTCCTTGCGCTATAAATGCAATTTCTATCTGAGTCCTACGATCATGAAATCCCAATTTCATGGTTAAAACATCACTCTCATGGTTCAATCCCATTTTCATTCTTAAATCCCCTATGCCCTATTTAAGATTTAGACAAGCCCAATCTTTTCATCACTCTCCGGCAGAAGTCTCGATCTCGGCGCCCACCTTCACGGAATCCACTTCGCTGGTCAGCCCACTCTTCTCCTCCGCTGGTTATTTGTGGAGGGACAGCCAGAGGTTCTTTATCTGGCTGGTGGTTGAGCTACCCCACTAAAATATATGAAAGTCAGTTGGGATGATGACATTCCCAACATATGGAAAAAAACATGTTCCAAACTACCAACCAGTTATTGTCATTGTTCCCCATAGCGTTGGAAAATGGACCATGATTGCGATTTACGATGCTCTGCCATGATGTACCACGGCTTTACCTATCAAAAGTGGTGATCTTTCATAGCAAACCATTAAATTTGCAGGTCCGGTACAAGACAGCAAGTATGGCCTATGGTCATTCAGCATGAGGAATCCTGATTTTTCGGACTCCAGGGACCGAGTTCTATCGCTTCCACGACTACAACGAAGACCTTGCTGTGGGCCAGAATCAATACCCCAGAAAACACATGACGTAAAGCCTGTTGGCAATTCCCGTTTCTCAAGGCACTGAACCCAGACCTATCTCGCCCTATATATTGACATGTTGATGGCCAAATCCTCAGTGTCTTCTTTTTACCTCGTATTGTTTGCACCCTTTTTATCGTGTTGCTGTTTTTTGTCTCCATATGGGGGGGGTTCTTAAAAGTTTCAATCCTAACATGGTCTACTGATTTCGGTAAACCTTCCACTATGGCGTCCGTGATGTTCAGCTCCTGAGACAAACCATCCTTGAAGTCCACGTAGTTCTTCACCTCCTCTTCCAGTTGCTCGATCTGCCTGGCCCATGGTGACCATGGTGATGAGCGGCCAATGGTCAGCAACAGAAATAGGATTCCCCAGGTAATAGCTATACCCTGTACATACGTATGTTTTAAGTCATGTTTATATGTGTATAATATGTGTGTAATATGTGTATAATATGTATATAGTTGAATCACATTGATAATCACATGTTGAATCCCTATCAGGGCATGACCATCCCTGAACTGCTGTCGAAACTGAGAGGTTTTGGCCCATTTCCCCCATCAAACGTGGCAATGGAGAATCCTTTCTGGGATAGTGTGTCGCCACGTTTGATTCCCAAAGGCTAAATATGTCCCAAGTCCACCAGGACTGGTTTTGTCATGGACTCAGACTTTCGGTGTCCGGAAGTGCCAAGCCGTGTCCGACAAAAAAAGACGAATCACCATGCACTTGTTTTCATCCAAGAACTCTTGGGAATCAATAAATTCAATAAAGAAGTCTGACATGAATTTGAGCACCGGGTACATGGCCTAAGCCTAAGACCAAACCACCAAACCCAAGGCCTCTTGGTGTGCTGCACTTCAATGCGGCTGGTGTCTAAGGAGATCTCCAGGTCGCGTTTCTCTCGTCCCAGATCCTCTCGTTCCCCACAGCCACGATGGGGAAGCCAACCGCAAACGGGGGTTGAAGCCCTTGATGAGGGATATAAAGATGAATATACACTATATTGCTATAATATAACGATCTATAATGTACACGATTATACACGATTAGTTCATAATATGCATTTTGGATAATTTCTCTTTGGTACGAGAAGTACCTGATTAGTCGAATCCTGGCAAAGCAAAGAACTCATTGGACATATTCAATCCTGTTCAATACTAATGTTGAACTGTTGATGATGTTGATATTCATATTGAATACGGAGGATAATCAACCCTGTTCATCGGACAGCAGAACTATGAATGTTGATTAATGTTGATTATATAATTGTTGTATTCATGCTGCCCAACATGCCCCGGAGCTGCTGGACCAACGAATCCTCCACATGGATGGCCCCCCCCCATGGGCCCGTCCTCGACTTTAGCAGCCAAGCGGCCGCGCTTGTCTTGGCGTTCTTGCAAATCCTATGGCGAGCGATCGGATCCGGGTGATCATGTGGCATTGGAAACAGAATAACAGGATGTTGAATCAGGAACCATATTCAACCACCACAAAATTGACAAATAATCACAAGTAAGTAATCATTGAAATCTTTGAGTTCTGAATTTTGACAAAAAAACAATGCACTGAAAAAATCGAATGTGTTTTGTTTTTACATGTTAAAATACTTGAAAGTAGGATTCAAGCATTTTTAATCACCACAAGTTTGGGTTTCAACCAAAAAAAACTGAGAGATTTGGAATGGTAACCGCAACCGTTCTTTTTCTCCATCAACGCGGGCCAAACCACCGGAAAGAAGGTATCTATACTATAGTTAAAAGATGGTCAAAGGATGTTGCCGTTCGTGTCATGAACCATCAGGGAAGAAAACACATCTATGACCAAGGCAACTGCAATCAGTCCACAGGGGACACATATTACTGGTCAGCCGATCGATTCGACTCTTTGTTGATGCCCGATCTTGACCTACTGGCGCCTTGATCAAGATAGGGCGTCAAAAAAAAATGATCAAGAATGTTGGGTGCATAAGGATTTGGTTGGTGGATGTTGGTGGATGCAGTGGGGGGGATGGGTCCAACGCGGGTAATTGCTCACATCTGCGTCCCTGAAGATGGTCCCAGATGAGCGTCACTGACGGTATGTACCCATCCCCAGGTTGTATAGGCAATGTGTGGCGAATATCAGAACGATCATCCTTGTAGGAGCAGGTCATCCCTGAAGGGATATAGATATATTCTTCTGATAAAACACCTGATCATCTGCTCTGGCTATGTATTCCCCAAAGTGATGTCAGCTATGCTGAGCTTGATGTAACCTACCTCTCAAGATGCATTGGCTCAAAGTGAGCGTGAATGCACAGTAAAGGGCATCGCATGCGCTCCAACATGTGGTGGATAAACCCTTAGTGATGGTTACAAAGTCAAGTTGACTGATCTTTATCTAAACATCTTTACATCATATGTATGGTTTATCTTAAATGATAGTGATATGTACGTGTATGTATATAATTGATGATATAATTGTATGGGAGACAGTAGATCCCCATCAGTTCGTTGATCTCCTCCAAGCATTCTCAGCCGGCCTCTTTGCTCACTTTCAGTTCTTCTTCGATGCGACGAAGCTTCTCTTCCGCCTGAAGGCGGCATTGCGCTCAATGGGCGGCTGAGCCAGTGATCCCGGAACCGGTGGGTTACATAGGATAGTTTACGAAGATGTTTCAAAGCACCAGTATACAGTGTCAAACATAGTCAAATTATATGCAATTGTCCAAGAATAGCTGAGAACCTATGAAAAACTCTGACAAGGAGGACGTGAAAACTGAAAGAAGGACAATCCATCGTGACGTTTACCAGCGAACTGATGTGTAAGAAGCCTGGAAAAATTGTCAACCAAAGAAATAAAACTGCATAGATCAAAACCAGCAAGGAAGAAACATGTTTGTGGGATGTTTGTGGGAAAAGAAAAGTGTCCCGCAGACAAACAATATGTAATAAAAAAAACTGTTGGTGAGTGTTGGTTGTGTATCCACTTGTCTGTATCCATTTCTATCCACAAAAAAAAATACGTATAATGGCGTATATATTATGATTGCTGCTTTTATTGTCATACTTTTGCATATTGGTACTTATAAATACGTACTATGATATGTCATCTAAAGGTTATACTACATTCTTAACATGTCATGTTGCATTATCCACACAGTACCTGGATCTTCGTGCAGGCGATATGTTTTGTTCCGCCCCGCTGGGAACATCTATAGATGATGGATTTCCCATTGTTCAGTGAGTTAGAAATTGCAGCCCAAAAAAAAGACAGAGCCGCACATGTATATTGATATATATATATATATATTATTATAACATATGTAATGTATATATATATCATTATATATCCATATCATGGCGTATAGATCCATATCATTTACATCCCCATCATTACATTATGTTATCAGATCTAGTGTGGCAACCCGATTATGAATCATCCCAAGTGGGGGCACAATGGTAAACCCCATGTGGGATGGTAAACGTTGTTGGCTTCACCTCACTATGATGACACATCATCGTAATTATTGTTGATTTTTGATATAAACCTTATTGTTGCTCATTTCTCATAATAGATTTGTTAAAAAAAACATCAACCATCAACCCATTCTGCAGACATCCACCGTTCCCCAGCTCCGGCATTTCACGCCTCTCGCAGCTTGTCGCGCGCTTTGGTATTCAGCTGCTCCGTCTTCTGCACCGCTTGCTCGTACCTGGCGACCGCGGGCCGCGGGGCAGCTACGCTGAGCCAAGCATTTCGGCCGTTCGGCTGCGAATGGTCACCACGACCTATTATACATATACATATATATATATATATGTGTGTGTATGTATGTATGTGTATAAATATATATATATATATATGTTATTAGTATGTATGTGTATATATGATTGGTATGTATGTGTATATATGTATATATATATATATGATAGTTACCCTCCTGTATATTAACGCAAACCCTTCCAAATAGGGTTGGAAGATTAGTTTCTACTGCACATTTGTTATTTTCAGGGACTGTGTGAATTGGGGGAAGTAACCATAGAAATAGTCTGTGAAAATATATCGCTGTAGAAATATGCATATGCATATATATATATAATATATATACAGTATATTATACACGTGATATCATAACTATGATATCCTATATAATTAATACTATATATATATATATCAGTTAAATATCTAACAATAGAAATGTTGGGTATATCTAGAAGACATGGTTATCTACCATATCTACCATGTAAAGAAATTGTGATATCCCAATCTCTATGAATTTTGGTATATCTGAAAGAAATGGTGCACCAATGGGCCCACGCAAATTTGGGGGGATAGAACACGTTGAGCCACAGCCAAATGGTGGTGATCCACGTCAGAATGACTTGGAAGTCCTTTGGAATTACCATAGGGGTAGAATCCTCTAACACGCCCCCTGGGAAAGGATGGCTTGATGGAAAATCCATGAAAATCCTCTGGCACATAGAATACAGAGGTGATGATAGATGTTCCATCTCTGGTCCATCAGCCAAGAGCCATCATTGAGGCATCATGTTTGACAACCATGGAGGTCGTTGAAGTCCAGCATGCCGCATATTAGCGATGCCGCATACACGCTGAAAAACAATGCACCAACAATTTGGGTCTCTAAGTTTGAGATGGATGGGTCAAAATCCTGGTGTTATTCTGGTAAACATACAAAATAGCTGGTAAATGGATTTTGGTTCAGAATCAACAAATATAGCTGGCCCTTCCGGGTTTGTCTGAAAAATCTGACTGACCATCCCCATCAAAATAGCCAAACATTAGCCACTTCGGGGTGTACCCCATTTTCAAACACACCCAGTAATCATGGCATTGTTGGTCATGAATTTCTGCCAGTATATCCCCAGTAATCCCCATGGTGGTTGATGTCCCTCAATCACCCTCTGGTAATTTAACATAGCTATGGAAAATCACCATTTTTAATGGGAAAATCCACTATAAATGGCCATTTTCAATAGCTATGTTTGTTTACCAGAGGGTATCCCTATTCTTGATGGTTGTATCACTATGGCGGGTGGCTACCGCCACAAACTCCGTGGCAATCCGTGGCACTCCCTGCGCTGCGCTGCAGTGAGCTTCAGGGCCTCCGGAAGCCCCGGTTAGTTTCGAAAGCAACAAAAATGCAAAAAAGTGCGTGGTATGGCGGTATGGCAATGGATTTACTCAGCAGAAATTCACCAGCAGAAATATCTGGGTAAATTATATTAATTCACCAACCTGAATATCTGGGCCATTTGGGGATGATTTCCCTTATTCACCATGATTCCAGGGTTCGGTCGCAGTGAGGTCGTTATCCGCCGACCCCGGCCTTCGCCAAGGCCGGGGCGGCGCCTGGGACCACCGCAGGTGTGGACCTTGTCCTCTTCCAAACCCTCCAAACCTTTACCCTTAAGCAGCTTCCCCAACAGGCACCCCAGGGCCAGGGCCACAGCAATGACTTTCTATGAGCTTTCAAAGCTGCCGTTTGCCAGCCCGCAAAGGCTCCAAACGCCTCCAAAATTCCAAACCCCCAGGGCCAGGGCCACAGCAATGAGACTTTTTATGAATTTCAAAGCTGCTGTTTGCTAGCCCGCAAAGGCTCCAAACTTTCCAAAACAAAATTCCAAACACCTTCCCCAACAGGCACCCCAGGGCCAACGCCACTTCCCCAACAGGCACCCCAGGGCCAGGCCACAGCAATGGCTTTCTTAGGCTTTCAAAGCTGCCGTTTGCCAGCCCGCAAACCCTCCAAAACCCCCCAAAACCCTCCAAACGCTCCAACCCCTCCAAAACCCGCCAAACCCTTCAAACACCGTCCCCAGCAGGCACCTCAGATCCACAGCAATGACTTTCTTGATGCTTTCAAACCCCAGGGCCAGGCCACAGCAATGGCTTTCTTAGGCTTTCAAAACTGCCGTTTGCCAGCCCGCAAACCATCCAAAACTCTCCAAACCCTCCAAACGCTCCAAACCCTCCAAACAGGCACCCCAGGGCCAGGCCACAGCAATGGCTTTCTTAGGCTTGCAAAGCTGCCGTTTGCCAGCCCGCAAACCCTCCAAAACTCTCCAAACCCTCCAAACGCTCCAAACCCTCCAAAACCCGCCAAACCCTCCAAACACCGTCCCCAGCAGGCACCTCAGATCCACAGCAATGACTTTCTTGATGCTTTCAAACCCCAGGGCCAGGCCACAGCAATGGCTTTCTTAGGCTTTCAAAGCTGCCGTTTGCCAGCCCGCAAACCCTCCAACACTCTCCCAACCCTCCAAACGCTCCAAACCCTCCAAAACCCGCCAAACCCTCCAAACACCGTCCCCAGCAGGCACCTCAGATCCACAGCAATGACTTTCTTGATGCTTTCAAAGCTGCCGTTTGCCAGCCCGCAAAGGCTGCAACCCCTCTAAAATTCCAAACACCTTCCTTAACAGGGGGCCAGGGCCACAGCAATGACTTTCTATGGGCCTCAAAGCTGCAGTTTGCAGCTTCCCCAACAGGCACCCCAGGGCCAGGGCCACAGCAATGACTTTCTATGGCTTTCAAAGCTGCCGTTTGCCAGCCCGCAAAGGCTCCAAACCCTCCAAAATTCCAAACCCCCAGGGCCAGGGCCACAGCAATGAGACTTTTTATGAATTTCAAAGCTGCCGTTTGCTAGCCCGCAAAGGCTCCAAACTTTCCAAAACAAAATTCCAAACACCTTCCCCAACAGGCACCCCAGGGCCAAGGCCACTTCCCCAACAGGCACCCCACGGCCAGGGCCAAGGCCACTTCCCCAACAGGCACCCCAGGGCCAGGCCACAGCAATGGCTTTCTTAGGCTTTCAAAGCTGCCGTTTGCCAGCCCGCAAACCCTCCAAAACTCTCCAAACCCTCCAAACGCTCCAAACCCTCCAAAACCCGCCAAACCCTCCAGACACCGTCCCCAGCAGGCACCTCAGATCCACAGCAATGACTTTCTTGATGCTTTCAAAGCTGCCGTTTGCCAGCCCGCAAAGGCTGCAACCCCTCTAAAATTCCAAACACCTTCCTTAACAGGGGGCCAGGGCCACAGCAATGACTTTCTATGGGCCTCAAAGCTGCAGTTTGCCAGCCTGCAAAGGATCCAAACTTCCAAAATTCCAAACACCTTCCCCAACATGCACCCTAGGGCCAAGGCAACTTCCCCAACAGGCACCCCAGGGCCAGGCCACAGCAATGGCTTTCTTAGGCTTTCAAAGCTGCAGTTTGCCAGCCCGCAAACCCTCCAAAACTCTCCAAACGCGCCAAACGCTCCAAACCTTCCAAAACCCACCAAACCCTCCAAACACCGTCCCCAGCAGGCACCTCAGATCCACAGCAATGACTTTCGTGATGCTTTCAAAGCTCCCTTAACAGGGGGCCCTCCAAAACCTCCAAACACCGTCCCCAGCAGGCACCTCAGATCCACAGCAATGACTTTCTTGATGCTTTCAAAGCTGCCGTTTGCCAGCCCGCAAAGGCTGCAACCCCTCTAAAATTCCAAACACCTTCCTTAACAGGGGGCCAGGGCCACAGCAATGACTTTCTATGGGCCTCAAAGCTGCAGTTTGGCCAGGCCACAGCAATGGCTTTCTATGCGCTTTCAAAGCTGCCGTTTGCCAGCCCGCAAAGGCTCCAAACGCCTCCAAACTTCCAAACCCCCAGGGCCAAGGCCACAGCAATGAGACTTTTTATGAATTTCAAAGCTGCCGTTTGCTAGCCCGCAAAGGCTCCAAACTTTCCAAAACAAAATTCCAAACACCTTCCCCAACAGGCACCCCAGGGCCAAGGCCACTTCCCCAACAGGCACCCCAGGGCCAGGGCCAAGGCCACTTCCCCAACAGGCACCCCAGGGCCAGGCCACAGCAATGGCTTTCTATGCGCTTTCAAAGCTGCCGTTTGCCAGCCCGCAAACCCTCCAAAACTCTCCAAACGCTCCAAACGCTCCAAACCCTCCAAAACCCGCCAAACCCTCCAAACACCGTCCCCAGCAGGCACCTCAGATCCACAGCAATGACTTTCTTGATGCTTTCAAAGCTGCCGTTTTCCAGCCCGCAAAGGCTGCAACCCCTCTAAAATTCCAAACACCTTCCTTAACAGGGGGCCAGGGCCACAGCAATGACTTTCTATGGGCCTCAAAGCTGCAGTTTGCCAGCCTGCAAAGGATCCAAACGTCCAAAATTCCAAACACCTTCCCCAACATGCACCCTAGGGCCAAGGCAACTTCCCCAACAGGCACCCCAGGGCCAGGCCACAGCAATGGCTTTCTTAGGCTTTCAAAGCTGCCGTTTGCCAGCCCGCAAACCCTCCAAAACTCTCCAAACGCTCCAAACCCTCCAAAACCCGCCAAACCCTCCAAACACCGTCCCCAGAAGGCACCTCAGATCCACAGCAATGACTTTCTTGATGCTTTCAAAGCTGCCTTAACAGGGGGCCAGGGCCACAGCAATGACTTTCTATGGGCCTCAAAGCTACAGTTTGCCAGCCTGCAAAGGATCCAAACTTCCAAAATTCCAAACACCTTCCCCAACAAACACCGTCCCCAGCAGGCACCTCAGATCCACAGCAATGACTTTCTTGATGCTTTCAAAGCTGCCTTAACAGGGGGCCAGGGCCACAGCAATGACTTTCTATGGGCCTCAAAGCTGCAGTTTGCCAGCCTGGCAAAGGATCCAAACTTCCAAAATTCCAAACACCTTCCCCAACATGCACCCTAGGGCCAAGGCCACTTCCCCAACAGGCACCCCAGGGCCAGGCCACAGCAATGGCTTTCTATGGGCTTTCAAAGCTGGCTTTCTTAGGCTTTCAAAGCTGCCGGTTGCCAGCCCGCAAACCCTCCAAAACTCTCCAAACCCTCCAAACCCTCCAAACGCTCCAAACCCTCCAAAACCTGCCAAACCCTCCAAACACCGTCCCCAGCAGGCACCTCAGATCCACAGCAATGACTTT